CTAATCTACCCTTGAGCCTCCCCAACTCTATCCTCTCTAGGAAGAGTTATGCATCTTGATGAGTGTTTTCTCGCACTAAAAAAAAATTGTAATATAGTGGTGTAAGTACGAGTATCGTCTCCACAGGGACGGACAAAAGGGAATCAAGAATTAATTAAATTCAGCGATTAAAAATAAATAAATAAAAATGCGTCGTGCGAGATTTGGTTGGTTGAATAAAAATTAAACTAATGCGAATGAACGATTAAAATAAAAGTGGTTTCTTCTCAATTAATGACGAAGGGAACAGGGATTGATTCCGGGGTAACCAGATTTCTGGCAGATCAGGCCTATTTTACATGAATTTAATTTAATTGAGCCTAGCTAATCATTACTAAGTTCTTACTGCTCTCGCGGCGTAGAGTACAATAATTTAGGGGACCAGGCTGATCTCTCATGCGACAAGATCCTAAATTATTGCCAAGACGAGCGAGCTTACGGCCCCTTAATCGCTACTAATCTCTTAGCGAACGATTAAGTGTGCGTGAATGTGTCCTAGAACAAATTAGATCTCTCTTAATTTATTCTATAAGCAATTGTAATTCTAGTGGCCATCTAGGTTACAAGAGATATAAGTTAAATTATTCAAACACAAATTAAACGGCATTCATGCAATTAAACCGACAAGAATCTAGCCATACATCATGATTAACCCCTTCATCAACCCCAAATCCCTAATTAAACTACTCACAATTCATAATTGAATAATCAACAGAATTGGGATGAATAGAAATAATTGTCATTAATTAAAAAGATGAAACTTACAAAGAATCTCAGGGTCTTGAACAAAATAGCGGAAAAACACTCTAAAACACGTCCCTAAGCTTCTCTCTAGGTTTCCCCGCCTCAAAACGGGGTCAGGGAGGCCTTATTTATAGAAAACAATGAATTTGGGTCGAAAAAGGACAGATCCACGGTACGCACGGAGCCTACGCACGGCGTGCGTTGCGTCCGTGCGTCCGACGGACGTCCGCGTGAAAATAGGCAACGCACGGCGTGCGTTCCCCTACGCACGTCCGTTCGTTGCTGCCAGTAGGTACTCATTGTTTTATCGCCTTGAACGCACGGCGTGCGTACCCGGACGCACGGCCGTGCGTTGCCGCCAGTAGCTTCCTTCAATTTTAACGCCTTGGACGCACGGCGTGCGTACCCGGACGCACGGCCGTGCGTTGCTCATTACTTTTCTTGGCCGCTACTGCCACGCACGCACGTCGTGCGTCCCTGTACGCACGGCCGTGCGTGGCCTTTCTTCTTCATTTTCTTCGATTTCTTCCGTTTTAAGCCTCCGTTTGACTACTCGATCGATCCAATAGCTCTTTCTTCATCAAAACATCATCGTGAATCTCCCGGTGGCCTCCAAATCTCTCAAATCTTCTTCGAATGCTTCCAAACTCTGCCCGATTGCTTCTCAAGCGCCGATTGCCGGACTCTAACTTCTTCAAATCAACTCCAAATGCAATGAAACTCGCTCCAACGCCTGCTAAACACAACTTGAGCCAAAATTGAGACTTGCAACGCCTTAAAGCTAGGAAAATCATCAAAATCCAACCCAGACACGCATCAAATGCGTGTCTAAATACGGACTTATCACATCTCTACCTTGCGGATAGAGAGCCTCTCAGCTTTGTCACAAAGCTCTCACACACACTTAACCCGAGGCAACTACTCTAGCCAATTAAGCCTCAATAGTCCAAGTACAATATGAAAGGGAAAGGAGAAACTCTATCTAGAACTCCGAGCAGGCAGTTTCAGTCGCCAAGGACTTGATCTTTTCTTGAATGATTCTTCTAAGTATTTTTCTCGGTTCAGCACACCTCTTCCATTTTGCTTTCTTGAATATATAGGTTGCTCCGGATGTGTCCGTTGTGACTTCCTTATGCAAGAGAACGATTCTTGCCTTGTTTGGAAGATCCCCTTCTCTTTCTCGATCCTTTCCTTGTTCATAGAGATTAATAATAATTGCTCCAAAGATATTTTATGTATTTATGCAAACGGATCCTTAGCTAGAGAAGGCAACAATTTATGCAAAAGATCTTTTCATTCAAAACATGCAACGGTCATGGAATTATTAAAGCAACTCTAAATGTTTCCTTTCCAAAGTGGGTTTAATCATTTAAGAACTTTCCATTTGGATTATTTTCCAACGAATGAATTTCTAACCAAGGAGTAGTGGTTACCACAGATTTCATTCCATATTTTCAAATAAAGCTTCGTAATTAAAAATAGAATTCAAACGAGTAGTCTTATATGCACATAATTCACATATGTTTATAGACCCGTTCCATCCTTTGTTCGTGCATGGTTAGTCATCAACAAAACAACATATTCAACAACCTATTTTTTAAAAGAATAATTGATAGATGTATAAACATTAATCGTGAGATCTTAATTTTAACACTTGAATCTCAATTTTATCACTTGAATCTAACTACGAAAAATTTTGGGTCAAAAAATTTTTAGATTGTTTTTAACTTTATATGTACAATATATATTGGTGTCATATGAAATATTATAAGGACTCAATAACTTTAATTTATTTTTTTGTACAAAACGGGCAACAAATGAAAAAGTTATTAAGCTTTAAAAGTGAAGAGATTTTTAATTTAGGGTGACGCAAATCATTTTCCAAAACTTACACTTTTTGGAATGGAATGTTTTTTTTTTGTTTGAAAAGAAAAACTTTATTAAAAAGGAGAAGAGTACACACACTAATGAGTACTAGCCCAAAGCTAAAGCAAACGAAACAACTAGCTCTAATGAAAGGAGAAATCAAATAATTTAAAATAAGTGAGCAAAATCCAACACCATAGCACCGCCCCTCGGATAAAAAGAGAAGCCCGAAAAGAAGATTCCCCAACAAGATGTCCCTAAAGATCAATTTTCACAAACAAAAAACCCCAAGAAGCAACTAGGAGCCCAACAAATATCAAAAAACGAACCCTACTTCTTCTGAGTCAACTTTTTTTCTTAAGGCGAGTACTCCTTCTAGGAACCAATATAGAACTCGATGAACTCCACTTGGGATCCGCAATAGAGTAAGTAGGATCTGCCATACGGTCCAACAGTTCACGGTCTGTAAGAAGCCTTCTTACGGGCGTTGCTTCTAATTCCTCTCTGTTAAGACACGGGGTTCCATCCTAAAAGGTCAACCTGATAAGAGGAGTAGCTCATGTCTTAATATAGCACTTTGTTGATTCAAATATTTCCGGTGTGGGACTCTAACACCCCTCCTCACAACAAGACACTTCGTCTGGATCGTGCCGTCATTCATTTTTTTCGTTGGTTCGTCGTTATTTTTTTTTAAATCGTGTCATCATTTTTTCATAAGGGGGTCCCACACCATGGATCGATTTGGCTCTGATACCATGTTAAGACACGGGGTTCCATCTTAAAAGGTCAACCTGATAGGAGGAGTAGCTCATGTCTTAATATAGCACTTTGTTGATTCAAATATTTCCGGTGTGGGACTCTAACACTCTCCCTACATATCCGAACTTGAAGGAAAAGATACTTGAAGAGGTGATACTTCTTGAATATCATCCATCTGAATATTTATCTTCCTAGATTCCTCATTAGTCTCATTGAGTCCCACAGGCAAACCTGAATCAATACCCAAAATATTTCCTGCACTAACATCTATCTCTTCATTTTTCTCCTCAATTGCCATAGTGATGCCCTCTTGAATGATATCCTGTGAGGCAAAATCCCTTGGAATGGAATGTAAGAAACATACACTTCATTGTCAAACACTCGTAGTCCCACACTTCATGGCCTTGAATATAAGTAAGGAAAAGAAAAATTAAGTACATAGGTTAATAAATGTACGTTGTGTTTTACCCGAAACCTGACCTTAATGTTTGCATGATCAACCTAAATCGAACCAGGGTTTTACTAAAATAAAACTTATTTACATAAATATGACTATTCATTACTACAACGTAGTGTTGTGGTAACTTAAGTTCAAAACTTGAACATGAATTACTATGATTTCATTACTACTCTAGTAAGTAGTCATATTTTTGTAAATCATCTTTATTTCGTTCATATTTATGTAATTATTTCAAAAAGTATCAGGCTAAAAATGGTCTGGACTCTCAAATATGAAATGGCGACCAACAAGCGGCCGGCCAGATATGGAGGAGGGCGGCGACTAGGGTTCATTGGCGGGTGGTAGAGCTGGGTTGGGCTGTCAAAGATGGGACTGGGAGGAGTGAATTAAGTCTGGTTAGGGTGATCGAAGTTGGTGTGCGGCAGCGATTGCCGATTGGGTGGCTAGACGAGGGAGTTGGTCAGTGGCGGAGCAAGATCTCTTTGGGTGGAAGTGATGGAGAGGAGGTTGGTTGGGGCTGGGGAGGCAAGTTGGGATGGGGCAGTAGCCGACGGTGGTGGTCGGCCGGAGTGATGGCCACGACAGGGGCAGTGGGGAGGGCGCAGGTATGGGGACTGGTTTTGGAGTGCTACGATGTGCGGGTGGGCCCACAGGGCGGTCTAGGGACACAAAAGTAGCGGTGGGATACGACTGGGATGATCGAGTTAGCGGGGCGGCGGTCTGAGAAAAAGTCGTCGAAAAATTATCTAGCGATTGAAGTAGGGACACCTGACCTGTTTCACTTTCTGTTACACAAAAAGCATTTATTTTAACAAATTGGATCAAAGTACTTTTTCAAAAGCATTTTTTGCAAATACGATCAACTTTTGCAATTGCCTACTTTCTTTAAAATCAATTTTAAAAAATCATACTCCATATTTTTAAGTAGATGCATTTAGAAACACTGCCAATTAGCTTGTGTCAAAATTATTTTCCTCCGTTGGTTTTCTCTTCCGAACAAAATTATCTTTTGTTCGGATCTCATCTGTCTATAAATTATTCTATTTCGCAATTGAGAAAAAAAAACATACACGAAAATTAGTTTTTGAATTGGAGGCTCAGTTCATTTAGTTTGCCTTTTTATTGGACGTAGGACACACAAGATTTGGATGGGTTCATGGGTCAACCAAATTTTGGCAGGTGAGTCACATTAATAGTGTGCATTGATTTAACTCTTCAAGTTATAACTTACTAATACTTGTTTTTCAGGTACGAATATGAGCTCCAATCCCACTTAGCAGAGGAGCTTTAATTTGTAGAGCATGGTATCCTCTGTATTTTTGCTTGCAAGTTAGTTTTCCACTTCTCACATTCTAATTAGTCTATGTTTCTGTTCTTCCCCACATCCTTTACTTATGCTTTCCGATTTTGATTTTTATTTTCATGTTCTCTCTTTGGAGGAACTTCTTTCAATTCCTTTCCTGAGAAGCCACGACCACTAAATAGAAACATTGTAACTAAAAAAAAGTAAAGAATGGATAAAGTGTTATACTCGAGTAGTACATGTTTCAAAGTTGTGACACTCCTCTTGTAGCACATTATATTACTACTCCATTCGTCTCATTTTACATGTCCTACTTTCCTTTTCGGGTATCCCAAAATAAGTGTCTCCTTTCTTTTTTTGAAAAGAAATATGTGGTCTACATCATTTCACTTTATTATACTCAAATCTCGACCACAACATTTACTTTTTCAACTACTTCATTAATAATCGTACCAAGTCAAACTAAGACACATAAAATGTGGAGGGGGGTTAGGGGTTAACTAGAAAAGCAAAATAAACGTGGATGACACCGGCCCTGACCTGGTGGACTTCCTGGCTGGTTCGGGCCTGTTGCCACCCAGAAAAAGCCCGGTCAGGACTGGCTCGGTGTCGGGACCAGTCCATTCCTAGTTGAGTCGTATAGGGGTGCATGTTTGGTGTGGTGGGAACTGGGAAGTGTTAGAATTAATAAGCAAAAGCCAAAACAAAATATAGTAAATGACCCTTTACAGCCCTGGTCCCAGAATATAGTTGGGCCGTTACTGGGCCTCCATCCCCAAACCAGTACTGCTCTTAGCCCGACCTGGTCTTGACTAGAGACCGATCCATGCCTAGCTATGACCCATGATAATTGTTGGTCATGTACATACATCTCCTTTGTAGAGTTTTAGGTGAACATTTTGGATGACAAACATGAAGTTTGATGTCATTTTTACCCCTTTCCTACTGCCTCAACAAAATTTGTCCATGGGGTGCACTTGATCTTTTGATGGCTGTTGTGGGTTAATAAAATTTTAAGAAAATAAATCTTAAAGTAAAAGAGAATAATTCATATATAAATTAAAGTATTCGTAGTTAGGCATATGTAAGAAATACATAAGACTTTTTTCCTGTAACTGGATTACTACATTGTAAGCAACGTTGACATTGCTATGTCTAGTTCTCTCTTGGTTACTATAGAAGAATTGTCTCACTTTTTTACCGTCTTTAGTTATTGGTTCATGAGAGCATGGCGCAAGTGTAAGAGACCTATATATACATATGGTGAAACCAAGTAGACACTAGGTTGGTGGGACTGTGGGAGAATCATTTAGTGCGTGTGTGAATTTTTAATATATTTATATCAAGAAAATGTAATGTGTGTCCAATTTAACAATTGTAATGTTGAACCTGTGATTTTGATGCCCAACCATTTGGTCATTCATCCGTAGCTATTAGTGTATATCTAGACGTAGCTCACTTATATTCATCATCCTGCAGTGTGCTCTATTTAAGAAGCAATATGTATAAGTGGTCTTTAAAAATATTCCCAATTCGATAATGTTTATTTTCATCGGCCAATTATTTAGTATTATCATGATCTTGTCTATTTTGATATTTATGTTTTCTTAGTTGGTTCTGCTCAGAGTGATCATACCGTTGCGAGCCAGTTGATTTATTACCGTTCTCCCCGATTCTCCGCTCTATGAACCCCTTAAAACGCCTAGTGAAATAGCAAAATTTGAAGTAATCTTGTCGGTAAATCGTGCATTATATTTACTGTCATTAGATTCCAGAAAAAATTTATTACCCAATGCGAACTTTGGTTTCCAAGTATTTGCACATGAGAAGGGGTCATGCTTTCTAGCTGTTGTTCATGTTGGGTCTAAGTCAGTTAGGCAGTATGTTATTATAGACACTGGGTCTGCCATGCTTTGGTTAAATTGTGCACCAAGGTATGATGATAAGTATGCATTGCTCTTATTCGATCCTAGGCAATCTTCAACGTTTAGAAGGGAAAGATGCGTAGATGATTCTCCAATTTGTGTAGGAAGAAGAATTAGATGTGGGACTGCTCGAACTGGCCGGCAAGAGGGTATGTAATTTTTCGTAAACTTATCTTAGTAATGATAAAATTTACGGTTACCTTTCCAGGGAAACTTTTGTTGTTGGTAGAAGCAAACAACGATTGACAAATGTGGTGTTTGGTTGAGCCACAAATTCAAGTGGCGAGAAAAAAAATGGGGTGTTAGGGCTCGCATTGAATAATCTTTCCATTTTATCTCGTAGATTTCCTTTGAGATAAAATGGAAAGATTATTCAATGCGAGACCCAACACCCCATTTTTTTCATCACTTGAATTTGTGGCACAACCAAACACCACATTTGTCAATCGTTGTTTGCTTCTACCAACAACGAATGTTTCCCTATAAAGGTAACCGTAACTTTCATCATTAATCAGATAAGTTTGCGAAAAATTACATACTCTCTCGCCAGTTGGAGCAGTCTCATATCTAATTCTTCTTGCTACACAAATTGGAGAATCATCTAAGCATCCTTCCCTTATAAACGTTGAAGATTGCCTAGGATCGAATACGGACAATGCATACTTATCATCATACCTTGGCAAACAATTTAACCAAAGCATGGCACACCCAGTGTCCATAATAACATAATGCCTAACTGACTCATACCCAACATGAACAACAACTAGAAAGCATGACATCTTCTCATGTGCAAATACTTGGAAACCAACGTCCTCATTGGGCAATAAATTGTTTCTGAAATCTAATGACAGTAAATATAATGCACGATTTACCGACGAGATTACTTCAAACTTTGCTATTTCACTAGGCATTTTATGGGGATCATAGAGCGGAGAATCGGGGAGAACAGTAATAAATCAACTGACTTACAACGATATGATCACTCTGAGCAGAACCAACTAAGAAAAACATAAATATCAAAATAGACAAGATCATGATAATACTAAATAATTGGCCGATGAACATAAACATTATCGAATTGGGAATATTTCTAAAGACCAATTATACGTATTGCTTCTTAAACAAATCACATTGTAGGATGACGAATATAAGTGAGCTACGTCTATATATACAGTAATAGCTAGGGATGAATGACCAAATTGTTGGGGATCAAAATCACAGGTTCAAAATTACAATTGTTAATGTATATGTATATGTATATGTATATGTATATGTATATGTATATGTATATGTATATGTATATGTATATGTATATGTATATGTATATGTATATGTATATGTATATGTATATGTATATGTATATGTATATGTATATGTATATGTATATGTATATGTATATGTATATGTATATGTATATGCATATATGTATGTACATGCATGTGTACATGCATATATATATGTACATGCATGTGTACATGCATGTGCATATGTATATGTATATGTATATGTATATGTATATGTATATGTATATGTATATGTATATGTATATGTATATGTATATGTATATGTATATGTATATGTATATGTATATGTATATGTATATGTATATGTATATGTATATGTATATGTATATGTATATGTATATGTATATGTATATGTATATGTTCCATAAAAAATGTATTTTTTTCATCATGTTCTTGTCTATTTTCAAAGTTATGTTTTTTTTGTTGCTTCTGCTCAAGGTGATCATACAATCGTGATTCAGTTGGTTTACTATCTTTCTCCATATTCTCCGCAGTTTGATCCTCTACGAAAGCCTAGTGAAAATGCCCATTTTGAAATAATGTCGTTCGCCCATCGTGCGTCGTAATTATTTTTATTAGATACTTGCAAATATTTAATATTTTATTGCCCATCGCGAACGTAGATTTTGAAGTATTTCCCGATAAGTCTGGGATCTGCTTTATGGCCCTTATTCGTGTTGGGTCTTAGTTAGTGTAGCAGTATGTCATTATGGGCATTAGGTCCTCCTTGCTTTGAATAAACTGTGTGGCGAGGAAAAATGATAGATATGAGTTTCCTTATTCCAACCAAGTCAATCTTCAACGTATCGGCGAGAAGGATGCGTAGATGATCCTTCACTATGTGAAGATAAAAGAATTCAATGTCTGACCATTGAATCTGGTAAGCAGGTATGTGTCTCTTCGATAAATTATCTTGGTAAGGATTACAATCACAGATTCCTTTCTAGAAAAACTTTCATCTTTGGGAGAAGCAAACAACAATTGAAAGATGTGGTGTTTGGTTGTGTCACAAGCATAGGTGGCGTACAAAGTACATACAAATGGGGTGTTGGGACTCTCATCCCAGAGAAAACTATATATTTTATCTCAAAGAAAATCTACAAAGTTCGCATATTGTTTCGTTAATCTAGATGATGCATCTTTTTCCTATAACAAATTAGTTATAGGAAATGAAATTGACCTTAGGGGTACGATGGTTCAACTAATTGTTGATAACAACTACAAAATAAACATAGAAAAAATTCGCAGTGGTGGACAAGCTATAGAGTTCGATCCAATAGATTATAGATTGAACTCTGATGACCACAGTGGCGGGATGATTATTGAAACAGCTTCGATGTACACATTTTTCCCTGAACATTTGTTGCTAAAAGTTGAAAGTTTCATCAAAGGGCAGATTGGTTCTTCTTTGCGTCGGAACCACAAAGTGCATGATCAATGGCATCCTATGTTGTGCTATTACAGTGATATAGAGAGTGAGTTGAAAATTATCCCAAAAGTTCTTGAATTTGAAAGTGGTGGAGTCATCACATTGATGCCCAATCATTTATTCAAGCATCTTATCAAATGAATATTTTGTCTGGCAATCTTTCCAACTAAGGTGACAAGTCTACCAGAGGAACCACCCACAGAGTAATCTATGCGTAA